TCCAACCTGGAGAATCAGTAGATGAAATTAGGAAAAGTCTGTATGGAAGGAATAAGTATTTGAGATCAAATATACAACATGGTGGCTATAGTTCATTATACTATACTGTATATTTCAAAATTGCCAGGAGAGTAAATTTCAAATGTTCTCACTACAGAAATAAATATGGGAGGTAACTGATATGTTATTAACTTAATTTAATTATCCCACAATGAGATTTGATATTATATATATATATTCATATATAAAATCATCACTTTGTACCCCATAGTATATACAATTAAACAATTATTATGTGTCTATTAAAAAAAAATAAGGACATGCTAAAGGAAGTTTTCCAACACAAAGGGAAATGACACTACTGTATATCGAAATTTAGATCCTCTGACACATGTGAATTGTAGCAAAAATGCTAAATATCTGGGTAAAATGCCCATGCCTGTAATTCCAGCACTTTAAAAGGCTGGGCCAGGAGGATGGCTTGAGGCCAGGAGTTCAAGATCAACCTACGCAACATGAGACTCTGTCTCAAGAAAACAAAACGAAAAATAGGAAAAGAAATGTCTGTAAACATTAGTCCCTTTCATGGAGGAACTTGGAATATAAAAACTAAGCATCCTTAAATAGAATTGTGTAATGTCAGCCAAATGGAAACTCTTGAAGCATGGGTAACTTAGGACACAATTCCTAGTCATTCCTGAGTGGAGAGGATTGCATGGTGAAAGAGATCCCCATGGCTGGGGAGGTAGCACCCTCTCATTCTGTTCATGGCCTGTCTGGGAGCTGAGCCATTAGCTTTCTACCCACTGATGGAGGCCTAGCCCCACTGGGAGCATTTGCTTCCTCCCCACCTCACCCACTGCCTGCAAGTTCCTGACCCTATTATGAAACTCCCACCCTAAATACACAGATAACGTCTCAGCTGTGAGTGAAACTAGAAGAGATCACGTGTAACTAATTAGATGTCAGAGTGAGAGAAAAGAAACTTTTCCTTGGGTCCTGGTCATTTGAAAAGAAATATCATCCTCAAAGAAAAGTCTTTACTTGAGATCTGAAGTGCAAAGCATATTTATCTTGTTCCAGGCTAACCTTGCCAAGGAGATTTGAATTTAAATAAGGCTATTCTGGAGCCTATTAATCTAGGATGATGGTGTAGCAGTGAAAGCCAGGATCGCTAAACACCTCGGGTTGTATAGGAAGCAAGATGGGGTCCATTCAGGGTTGCAAATGTTTTATTGCTGTTTTTCCCTGGGTCCCTCTGCCTGATGGGGCAACCTTCACTGTTCTGAAGAGAGGCTAGCAGAGTCATTGTCTGACGTGCACAGTGACCTTCCTTGCAGCTTCCAAGCAAAGATGGAGGCTCTCTGGTGGAAACTGGCCCCATGTTCCTGCTCAGAGACCCCCACAACTTCACCCTAATCCACATCTGTACCCTTCTCTCCCTGCAGACCCTGCCTTGCTTCCCACACTTTCCCAGGGTGTGCTCTCAGCCTCATCCTCTTGCACCCTTGGTATTTGAGCCCCCTTTTAGTCCCACTCTTTCTACCAGTTCTTCCTCCATGAACATGCCTCAGTCTCTTCTAACTTAAAAATAACCAAAACGGCCTTTCCTGCATTACATTACACGCTAGACACTGCCTTATCTTTTCTTCTCTCTTACAACCCAGATCACTCTTTTTCTTTATTTTTTTAGACAGGGTCTCACTCTGTCTTCCAGGATGGAGTGCAGTGGTACAATCATGGCTCACAGAAGCCTTGATCTCCTGGGCTCAAGTGATCCTCCCACTCAGCCCCTCAAGTAGCTGAGACTACAGGTCAGCTAACTTTTGTATCTTTAGTAGAGACAGGGTTTCACCATGCTGCCCAGGATGGTCTCAAACTCCTGGGCTCATGCAATTCTCCTGCCTCGGACTCCTAAAGTGCTGGGATTACTGGTGTGAGCCACTGTGCCCAGCCTCTAGGTCACTCTTAAGGAAGAACCTACCTCTTTCTTCCCTCCTCTTCTTTCCCTCCTCATTCATCAACTGGTTTTGCCCAACCCTCCTCCACCACCCACCAATACTCCCACATCTCCTCCTCCTCTTCATCCAATCCAGAGCATCACAAGTGTAGACAAAAATGCCTCTTAGACCTCATCTCCTGGATTTTCCACAGGCACTCAAGCTCATCCTGTCCAGAATTGAGCTGGTCACCCACCCATCACACCAGTCCCAACACAGACTTTCTCCTCTTCCTTTTTTATTCACAGTCTTGGTAAAGAAAACCATCATACTCCTTGGACAGGCAAAAGTCTTCCCCAACTCATCCAAGTCCCCTCACATCTCCCTAAACCTGTGGGTTGTACCTCCCAATGGCTTCTCTCCCTCTCCATGGTGGTGGCCACCTGAATGCCTTTCTGGTCCACTGTAGACTATTGCAGTTCTTCAGGGGTGGGGGACAGCAGGGGAGGACTCAGCTCAATCTCTAGTCTTGCTTCTCCATCCATCTTCCATGAACAGAGATTTGCAAATTTATCTCTTCTTAAATTATTCCAATGGCTTTTCATTGCCTAAGAATAAAGCACGAATGTTTAATTTGATATCAAAGGATTTCACAATCTTATCCTCACCTATATCATAGCTCAGTGTTGAAGAGTATGGATTTCAGAGCTCTATCACTAACTAGCTGTGTGGCCTCAGCAAGTTTCTTAGCCTTCCTGGGTTTCAACTTCCTCCCCTATAAACTGAGGGTAATTATAACAGTACTGAATTTTTTTTTTTTATTTTATTTATTTTTTTTTTTGAGACAGTCTTGCTCTGTCACCCAGGCTGGAGTGCAGGGGCGCAATTTCAGCTTACTGCAAGCTCCGCCTCCTGGGTTCACGCCATTCTCCTGCCTCAGTTTCCTGAGTAGCTGGAACCACAGGCACCCGCCATCACACTCGGCTAATTTTTTATATTTTTAGTAGAGACGGGGTTTCACTGTGTCAGCCAGGATGGTCTCGATCTCCTGACCTTGTGATCCACCCACCTCGGCCTCCCAAAGTGCTGGGATTACAGGCGTGAGCCACTGTGCCCAGCCAATAGTACTGTTCTTATAGGGTGCTAGGGACATCAGATGTGTTAATATCCATGAGGGTTTTAGAACAGCACTTGGCACTAAGGAAGTGTTATATGTATTTGTTAGTTCCGTGCATTGTCTGCCATCACTGTTCTCCTCCTATGCACTTGAATATTCAGACATGCTATGCTCCAGTCACAACAGACAGCAGACAGTTCCCCAAACACACCATGGTGGCTATTTCATGCCACTGCAACTTTGTTCTTCCTCCTTTTATTGACCTCCTAAACTCCCATTTATCTTTCAACCCTCAGCTCAAATATCACTTCCCAAATACCTGGAGACTTTGCTCCACTGAGACTCTGTGGCACCCCAAATGAACTCCCGTTTTACCACGGATCATTTAAATTAATTATTTCTCAAAGTCTGAGAGTTACCGTTTTTGAGCACTTATCACATGCCGGTCCCTGTTCAAAATACGTGTATTAGCTTATTTAAGCCTCACGGCAAACCTATGACAGTTTTGATAATTGGTTTACAGGTTTGTCATTTCTCCTAGATTGTGAGGGTCTTTATGGGTAAGAATCTATGTTTTGATCATCTTTGAATCTCCAGCACCTAGCAAGGTGCCTGGTGTACAGTGGGTACATAGTGAAATTAGTATCTCTTGAGCCAATCAGAAATGGGCTGCACTCAGAGAAAGATGGGAGCATGGGGAAACAAGTGACACTGAAGGGCATCTAGGGAAGGGACCTATGGTAGTTGAACCTGAAATTCATCAGTGCCATAAACAAAGACTGCAGTAACTACCTCACCGCATTATTAAATCTTTATTACTATATGAACATTTTCTATAGTGCTGAGGGGTTAATGTGCTCTCATTTAATTCCGTACTGTCGTATAATTTCAGGTCTTTCCAAGGACATAATAATACAATTCATGATGACATTTTATTCCATGCTTTTGCTTCCAGGGTCATATTCAAAGTCCTGAGAAGTTTTCCATGGCCCTTAGCCCCTGGGTTTCCCACCTTTAATAAAGGGTAAAGAGATATTCACCCTGACAACCTATTCTTCTTGTTGGACATGAGATGGAAATTGTAGAAAATTATAGTCAGGGATCATTGTTATAATTTCTATGGTAATGGTCTAAGACCATAAACTCAAGTATTTATTGCTTAATTACTACAAAGGAATATGCTTTTTCCAAATAGGAACTATATTAAAAAGTTCAAAATAAATATTTCAGTTTTGGTTAACTTTTCTTCCCTACTCCTTCAGTACGTAGTAAGTTCTGTTTCATTAGTCAGCAGAGAATGGTTGAGATTAAAACTGTTTAATGCACTGATTCAAATATCTTCGGGTGGCCTTAAAGCTACTCTTAGCAGGGGGAAAGAGACATCCAGCCATATGAGTGTCCCGAGGGATGCCAATGAGAAAGAATCTGCCCAGAAAACCCAAGTCTAGAGCCCCAGGATCTCTCCAGGAGCTCCCAGATTTGGCTTAAACTATTCTAGTAATCTGCAGACAGCATATGCACAGGATTTGGGGGTCACTTCTTTATTTATTTTTTATTTTATTTATTTTTATTTTTATTTATTTATTTATTTTGAGACAGAGTCTCTCCTTCTGTCACCAGGCTGGAGTGCAGTGGCACGATCTCGGCTCACCGTAACCTCCACATCCCGGGTTCCGGTGATTCTCCTGCCTCAGCCTCCCAAGTAGCTGGGATTACAGGCGTGCCACCGCACCCAACTAATTTTTGTATTTTTAGTAGAGATGGGATTTCACCATGTTGGCCAGGATGGTCTTGATCTCTTGACCTCGTAGACCCACCTGCCTTGGCCTCCCAAATTGTTGGGTTTACAAGCATGAGCCACTGCGCCTGGCCACGGCTTCTTGACCTCTTGGAGCATTGGGTGTGAAGGGAAGTTTAACCTCTCTGGGCTTGTGTTTTCTAAGGAACTACCACTGCTGGAATGAAGCATGGATGACAAGGCCTGACCTTCCTGTCGGATTTGGAGGCTGGCAAGCTGTGGACAGCACCCCCCAGGAAAATAGCGATGGTAAAATTGTGTCCTCCCTCCGGGAAATGCTTCATTGCTGATCTTTATTTTGCTTTTATGCTTGCATTTGGTGTGTGGGAACCACGCCCGTTGGGAGCCAACATCTGAAGTGTGCTTCCTGGGCACATGCGCAGTACTAGCTACCTTCCAATCAGGTTTAATTTCATTTCAATAGTCAGCTTTACCCTGATTATTTTACAAATTTTAGAAAAAGAATATAAAACAACATATAATTCATCCATTCTTGCTTTGCTAAGCAGTTTCGAAGACAGGAGAGAAAATATCTGTAAGCATTTTTACTAGGCTATAAAACATACTTCAGCCCTTCATGGTATGCACAGATAAGATATAAAGCAGTAGAGAAAATAGAGAACTCGAAAAATAATTATAGATCATCCTTTAAATTGTTGTTTTTCCAGAACCTGGCCTCCTTTTATGTCGTGTGATTTCCTCCAAAGCTTGAGTATGTGGGGTATTTGTCTTCTAACTTGCCAACTATGCTAAGCAGCTGCAGCTCTGACCTCCCCCAGATTTTTACAAAATCACATCATAAGCCTCCATCTCTCTTTAATATGATAATATAAAGAATCAGTAGACTGTGAATATTGTGGATATTATGTTTATTTCCTCAGGTGTTGATATATTGATGGGCACACACAGGCACATGCATAAACATTCGGTGCATATTCATAGTGAAACCATGTTATAATCCTAGACTTTAAGGAAGAAAGTTTAGCACTTTCTGGTGTTCTGGTATATATATCATGGGGACACTTTAGAGATGATTAATAGCAGCTAATCTCTTATTAACTATGGATAGGTGGTAAAAATCTAAAGGATTTTAGAAGAGTAACATGGGCCTTCTAACTTCCTACATGCACGGTGGGCATGGCCAAAATGCACAGGTAATGTCCAGATTCTCCAGTTAAACTTGACTTATGTTCATAATGTCCAAAAACAAAAGACAAAAAGCAAAACAAACAGCAACAGCAACACAACCACAGAGGACACGTCAACATTCCAACATTTCAGATACCACCCGAACAAGAGATAAATGCTGTGTAAGTCATCTGCTTGGCATGAACACATCTGGGTATGTGTCTGTAGGTGGCCCAGTAGATGCAGGAATAGTGTTGCCTTGTATTTATTTCCATGGCTTCAATTTTTGGCTTGAGGAAGCATAGCCAATGGATTCTCTCGAGCCTTGGAAAGTGTTTGGGCTAAATCATCAATGAAGTCGGGAACACTGGTCTCTACAGAGTCACCCTCAGTGCCATGCATCTTGCAGTATCTGGACAGAATTGGAGATGAGAAACTCACACCGCCCTTCCTCTGTGCAATGCAGGCATGTATCGGTGTGGCCCCGCCTCCGTTCAAGCCATCAAGCACGGCCACGTCTGCTTCCAATTTGATGCACCTTTTGTTTTTGCAGAGGTAAGCGGGAAGCTGGAAGAAAGTGCTGTTTTTCTTCCCAACTTCTTAACACCTGAAAGAGTAAGCTAAAAGTTGTTGCTTCTAAGTTTTCCAGGTACATAGTGTATGCTTCGTGTTGACAAAGGTAACTAGGCATTATTCCAACTTCCAGGCTATTAACGCTAAATGCAGTTCTTGTTTAACATTTTTCTTTCCTTGATATTTTGGGATTCTTACTCCCAAAAATAAATGCTTTTCTAACATTAGCTTAGTTCTCTGCACCCATGAAGTAGGTATCAACTACTCCAGAGAAATTATATGACTAATGGATCTCTCAACTAACCATTGGTAGAGATGGGTCATGAATTGAAATTTCAGGACATGCTACTTCCCTCTGGGACTAGTCCAGCAATCCATGTAGGACAAAATCCACATACACACACCCAACCATGGTCTTACCCTGGCCTTTGCAATCTATGTTCTGCCATCCCACAGCATCGCCCGTGGCCAGGGAGGGAGGATTGAGTTGCCAAAGGAGGAAGGGAACCTGGAGGCTGCTCTAAAAGAATACAGCCCACCTACAGGGTTGATGTGAATGCCTGGGCAAAGGCTCTGCAATTTCAGAAGAACTAGGCAGGGACTGGAAGCAGAAGAGGCTGTTAAAGGATACTCAAGGAGAGTTCTGAAGATCAAATTAAATGTAAGAGATGTTGGGTAAAGGAGAAGGCTGGGCTGCCAGCCTTGGAAGACTTGAAAGACTGAGAGGCAGGACTTCCCTAAGGTATATTTGCACCAATAAATACACTGAAATAATGTCGCTCACTTTGCCTACCTTTGGATGCTCTTAGCAACCCTCTAAAATTGTTAATATCATTCTTCCCATTTTACAGAAAAGAAAATCAAGGCAGAGAGTGGTTAAGTGACTTTCTCACAATCATCTAGCTAATAAACAGCGGTGCTAAGATTTGAAGCCAGGCAGATGCCTGAACGCGTACTGGTAACCATCGCACTCTAGTACTCTGGGAGGAGTAAATAGTTATTATTAATGTACACCAGGCACTGTACTGGGGGAAATTCTAAGGTTCAGGTCTTTAAGAAACATATTTCTAGATGCCAGGTGACAGGGCACAAACACACCGAACGTGAAATGACAACAAGACCAGTGATGCTATGGAATTAATTGTCAAGTGGGCTGTGTAGAGAGCACAGATCTGCATTCATACTATGTGTGAGTTGAGAAGTAGAGGCCAAGAACTGAAGCAGGATGGCAAAGACCACAAGACACCGTCTAGGAAGGAAGGGCGACCTGGGAACAGACAGTGAGGATGCCTGTGGAAGTGTTCCTAGACAGTAGGAGCAGAGAACTGTGGGACCACAGGCGAAGGAGGGATGAGTAGGCAAAGGGATTAGAAAGCAGTCAGAGGATGGGAGGGGTACTAAGCAGGGGGTATGAGTTGAGCATCTGAATGCTGTGTGGGGGAAGTTGAAAGCTGTGATGACTCACTAGGATGCATCAGGGGTGTTGGAAGGTGGAGGCTGAAGGAACTCAGTGCGGGGTCCTCCCTGAGAAACTCGCTCCTTGTCCCTCCTGTAAGTGAGAGAGAGTTTTCACTGGGCAGGAACCTGGGAAAGGTGCTGGCAGCCTTGTGGAACACGGATTGGAGGGGTTGTTACAAAGTTGTAGGGAACATCGAGAGAGTTGGTCATCCCTCCAAGCCAGAGATGGAAAGGGCCTGAGCTAGACAAATGGCAATAACGAGGAAACAAAGAGGCAGGACTGAGAAATATTATTTAGAAGGCAAAATGAGCACCAAAATTCAGACAGCAAGATCAGGAATTTGAAACATACAAAGACCAGTGTTCATCTCATCATACCTGCCATGACAGTTTATAGAAGCCTTTGGAGACCAAGTTTACTGGACTTGGAATTTTATCCCCTCGATTTCACTTTGGGATTTGAAGATTTCCACAAACCTCCCCAGCTGCCATTTGATAGTTTATGATGCTACGAGAGCCTCTTATGAGGAGATCACTGTGAAATCCACAAAGCCTTATATTCAGCTTTTTATTATGCTTTATTGCTGCAAAGAAGGAGAAGAAGGACCTCCCTCCACAAGTGAGCTACCTAATAGCTGTAAATGCAAATGCTTTTTGCTATTATTAAATATAGATCGGGGTGTTATGAATGTCATCAGGATTTGTCGATTATAATTACTCCTTTCTCACCCACTGCAGAGGCGTGTCTGACAGAGGGTACAATTTGTTGCTTTGGCATGGGCTGCGCTCCAGGGCTGAGCCATTTTTAAGAGATGTTTGAGCTGATGAAAAGTGTATAAAGAATCTTTTCTCAAGGGTGCCTGCAGTGGGACCCCATGGAGAGCGTCATGCGAGTTGACATGACTCAGGTTGGAGTCTGCAGCTCTCTCTGCTCTCCCTCCTCCTTGCTGCATCAGCTCGCCTTCTCTTCCCTCCCAGCATGCTGACTTTCTCGGTCATTCCTTACTCATTTCCGGGCTTGATCAAGCATCATGTTCATTGACTATTTTTTAGTTTTCCCAGGGCCTTGGTCTCCGTGAGTGAAAGCAGAGCCTAAAAAGAAGAGGGATATGCCTGGAAAATGTCTTACCTTCTGTTCCTTTTTTCTGTCCTCCTCCACTTTGGAAGTTCACTCTCCACATTTCTGGATTTCTGCCAGGGCTTGAAGCTTATTTCTCTTACCCCTCCCTTCCCATGCCCTCACTGCTGCAGTGGGTTCCTGTAGATCTGAAGACCCATCTGCCTCTTCTCTCCCCAGCTCATGGTGGCCTAGGGCTTCCAAAGAGGTGAGAGGAAAGGAGAGCTGTTCTAAGTGTCTGAAGTCGTATTCCAAGATTCCATGTTCACTAATCCCTCAGGGGTTCTTAGTGAAGAACTCTCTCCTTCTTGCCAAAGATAACTCTCTTCTGTCCTAACTTCTCATTAACTCTGCTGACCTCTTTCACACCACTCCACCCCAAACTCACACACATACACACACACCTGTGCATACACACACACATGCATGCACGCACCCATGTGCACCCACACATACACATACTCCTGCCTACCCTCCCTGGCACTGAGATGATTTTGACAGGAGCAATAACTGGCTCCCTGGGACCACAGCAACCATCTCGTCGCTCAAGAAGCTAAGCCCTCCTCTGCTGTGGGTCAGCAGTTCTCTTATACAATAAGTGGAGATGTTTTCCTATAGATTATTCATTCTCAATTCAAACTTGTTTATTTTGCTACTATCTTATCAGATGCAGCCCATTTTTTGGCATCTCCTACTTGGCTGTAAAATAATCCTGTCATTTATTCAAATAGCATATAAAACTTTGAAATTATTTTAGCTTTCCTTCTTAACCTCCCTTATGCATCTTGCCAAAATTACCTTCCAAAAATTATCATAAATCCAGCCACTTCTACAATCTCTGTCATTACCCTCTGAGCTCTGTACAGCACTAAGCTCCATGAAGTTACCTCCTAACTCGTCTCCCTGATCCCCCTCTTGCTGCTTTTTTGTCTATTCTCCACAGCTCACCAGAATTATTCTTTAAATGTAAATAAAAACTTCACACTCCTGCTCCAACCCTTCTAGTGGAGTTCTGCCACCCTTACAATAAAATTGAACATAAATTCTTACAAGATTCCATGGCTTCCCTTCCACTTCATCCCTTGTTTATTTCCCTCCAGCCATACTGAGCTTTTTGCTCTTTGGAAAGCATCTACACATCCTCTTGGTTCCGCACTTTTGGACATACTGTTCCTTTTGCTAGGAAAGCTGCCCTCACTATCTTTCACTCTATGGAGGAAGAATGCTTTGCCTGCTTTGTTCCTTCTCTGCACTCAAGTCTCTGCTCTGGTCACCTCTTCAAAGAGGCCTTCACTCACCCCACCCCACTCCACCTAAAATATCACCATCTGCCCTGTTGTTTTCACCCTCCTACCTTAGTGTGTGTTCCATTTCTCCCTTCTAGCATATGAGCTCCATGAAGGTAGAAGCTGTTGTGTCTTCATTGCTGAGAGCAGGATCTAGGGTCCAGCACCAGGAAGGCCTCCTGGTCCAGGAGGGCATTCACTGCCTCCATGTGCCCTCTGAGGAGCAGCATTTTCTCTGCAGAGCATGCAGATGAGGTTATCTCCACTTGGGAACCAATGAACAAACCAAAGCAAACTCTGTCCAGGGTTCTGAAAGCAAGAGCACATCTCCAGCCTCAGTGGTGAAGAGCATATCTTCTGCCATCTGTGGACAAATGTTCACATTCTATGGGCCTGGGTGGACATTTGCAGAGAGCAGCCCCCGAGCCTCCTTCCCATTCTACCTATGCTGAGAACCTATGGCCCTGACCAATGGTAGAGGCTACTATGTAGGAAGTGCCTGTACTTAAGAGGCAAGGGTTTGGTGTTGTGAAAAGAATACCCAATTTCATGCACCAATGCCCAGGTTTTGTGTTACAATAACTTCTTCAAGTGTAGGGGTAGAAAAAGGTGATCACTAACATTATATTACATTCAAAAGAAGGAAGAGAAATTAGCCTTAAATGTAGGGCTTTCACAAGTAGTACCAATCTATCCACCAGCCCTGCAAGGAAGGTAGGCTCAGAGAGATTCAGTAACTCATCCAAAGCTACACAGCCTAAGTCCAATATTCCTTACCATACACTCTGAACTTAGCTACTGTTCTACCACAGAGAGTCAATTGATTTTGGGTGGGGCCAATCATTTGATGCTTTTTTAAGCTCCTAGATGATTTTCCAGTACAGCCAGAATAGAGAAACGTTCCACTACAGGCTGAAACCAAAAAGAAAGCTTGCTAATGTCACTTGGAAATAATAATTTCCCTCCACATACCACCCCAACATACATATACAGAAACCACCCCATATGGGTGTTTCCCCTCTCATCTCTCAACAAAGGACAATGCTGTTGATCTGTCCTGAGATTTTAGCCTACATAAATTTCTGAAACCATATTCAAGGTGGTGGGGGGGGGCGGCAGGAACTAGCCACTTTCATATTTAGCTTGTCTCCCTGGAAAACCATAAGCTGTTACAAGGATTAAGATGATATTTATCATTATTGTTGCTACAATTTGAAAGTGGAGGAGGTCGCCGTTTGTACTTACATGGCTTCCTCCAGAGGGAATGCCAGAATTCTCAGGCAGTTCATTCAGTTTCCAAAATGACTAGTATTCCACAGGTATCTGCTGTGTCTTCTCCTGTCCTGATTCCTGACTTCACATTTCAGCCTTTCACAGCATGTGGCTAGCACCACCGAGTTCTGGCTGCTCTGCTGAGGAGCAGGGCCACCGTTTATCAGCCTCAGAAATCTGAGCCGCAAGCGTGGAACCATCTCACCCCTCAAGCTGGTGCTCATGCTCCCGCAGGGTGGTGTAGGAGAGGCAGTGTGCTATGAAGGCCAAGGGCCGGGCTATGGGCTGGCCCAGGGCTTGCGCTGCTTCTCCACCAGCTCCCAGCCATGAAACCACAAACACTCTGCCTCCCCCTTCTGAGTCTTGGTGCCCTCATCCATAATACGGTTACAATACATACCTCACAGGCTTGTTGTTGTGAGGTTCAAACTAAATCCTTTATAAAATGTCCCTGAAACATTGTAGGTATGCAGTAAATGTTGGCTATCTCCTCTTTAGTAGAAATCCAATTTCATGTGCACTCAGAACATTCTGTGAGAAAGTAAAATTGCTCTCTTTAACCTCAACTTTAAAACCTAGGGATATATCTTCAAGTTTCCCCATTACCTAATGATGACTATTATATTTTTTACTCAATTTTGAAATGTACAAGTCATGTTCACATAGATCTTATCTCACTCTGACCTAAAATGCTCCCATAAAATTGGCAGAACAAGTTTAATCATTTTTATTTTATAGAATCAGGAACTGAAGTTCATAGAGATTAACATGCACTTTCTACAAGGACACACCCACTATGGGAACCCAGGTTTCTTGCAGCAAATCTAGTGTTCCTCTCAAAGGCCATCTAGGTTTCACCTTGGCTGTTGCTATCTAGCCAACCCCTGACCCCACTGCCCCATGTCCAAAGTATCTTGTACTTATTCTTTCATGGTACTTATTGTGCTATATTACAGGGCTTCTCAAGCCTGACTGTCCAACAGAATTGTGTGAGACCTTTTGTAAAATATAATGACTTTAGGGCCTCACGTGATTTAGGTCCCACCTCCTTAATCAGGCATCTATTTTGTTAAAAAAGTTCTCCAGGTGACTCTGATGCACAGAATCATGCTTACTAGAGCATAAACTCTATAAGGGCAGAGATCAAATCTATTTTGTTCATCATTAGGATTCTGAATCCTTGAACAATATCTGGCAGTACTATTAAATAATATATTATGGTCAATAACATTTATTGAGCATTTACTCTATGCCAGACACTGTGATAAGTAATGTATGTGCGTTTGTTTCTGTTAATTCTGCCAATCATCCTATGAAGAAGGAGTTATTGTCACTCTATTTAAAGAGTGGGTAACTGAGGCTTGGAGAGGAGCTTGGGAAACATTTAGTAAATACATCAATGACTATTAGCAGTACAATTCATGCTTCCTGCCTGCTTCCATGATAATAAATGGAATTCTCAAGAAAGTGATTGTAAAATATGTAATAAAAGACTCTGGTAGAGTCAGCTTTCAGGCACACATTAGTCATTGTCTCTAGAAAGTAGAGTGGTAAAGCAGAGCCTTGGGAGAGCTTGGGGGCAGCCAGCATGGCCCCAAGACACTATTTCCAAGTCCCACAAATAGCACATTTTAGTGGCTGGACCAATAGAAAATAGACTGAGTTCCTCCTAGATCATTTAATGTTGTTGTTCAATTTAAATACTTTTGGCTTCAAGTAGCAGAACTGATGTGGCTGAAACAGATGGGGACTTATTTTTCTCATATAAGAAATCCTGAATTTGGTGGTCCTGATGCTGGCTTAGGCATTTAACAGCATCATTAAATCACCTAAATACCCAAAAGCCTCTCAGCTTTCTACTCTGCCACCTTCTCATTGTCGGCCATGTTTCTGTTCACTGTCTCACGATGGCCACAGCAGCTTCAAGCATTCCTTCACTTCACCTGCAAACACCTGAAAGCAGAAAGGGAAGGGCAAACTCATGCGTGTACCTCTCTCCTTTTTCTAAGGGGAAAAATGTCTCCCAGAAGTCACCTAGCAGACTTCCTCTTCCTCCTGGTAGTTGGTCACATAGTCACAGCCCAAAAGCAGTCCAGGGAAGCAAGCGATGGGCATGGTGGCATGGCGGCATGGCGTTGTCTTCTCTCCCATGGGAGGTAGGACTTATCAGGAAGGCAGAGGAGAGAGAAAAATGGTTGCTTCTTAGGCAATGTATTGTCTCAGCCTCAAATAAATTTTATTTAAAGTACTGCTAAATAAAGTAGATTCGCCTTTAGAATATATTCAAAATCTGTTTGGTCCTATGATACAAATCCAATGTTGTTGAAGAAAGGGGCGTGTCAGCTCCAGAGATCTCTAGACGACTGCATTATGGACAGTTAAAGACTTTAGCAACAACAGGCATGTGATGATGGCTAATGCTCTCCTCTCCTGTTTTCAGGTCAACAGCGACCTCATTTACATTACAGCTAAGAAAGATGGCACTCATGTGGTGGAAAATGTGGATGCCACCCACATTGGGAAATTAATTGTGACCAAACAAATTGGAGGAGATGGCATGATGGATATTACTGATACTTACAAATTCCAAGAAGGTAATTTACTACCACTGAATGAAGATTTATTTGCCCAAGTCCATTTAGTACTTATTCATTGTCACTCAGAGATGAGTTCCAGAGAATGCGCTGGCATTTGCTGCATTTGGTAGCAACAGCAGAAGTATAAACTTTCATGCGTGAAAGACACATCACATATGTAATTTTTCATTGTAGTTTTCTTTGCTAGCTTGCTTTGGGCAGGATTCTCATTCACATGGCTTGTGAAATGATTTGATTTAAAGTCATATCTATTTTAACAGAATATAGAATATGTTCTTGCTCATAAGAACCTTAATTTTAAATAATCCTATTAGAAAACACTGTGTAACTAACATAATTTTAGTTCAATAATAGAAATTAAAATAACGACTTCACATTTGTTTAGTACTTTACCAGTGATTTTCACATACATTGTTCCATTACATTATCATGGAATACTACAAAGCAGATAATACAATATTAATAGGACAATACAATCTCTCTAACTCAGGACAATTAGGCCGAAGGCCAGTTTCAATTATAAAATAATGTCATGGTGGGTTTTTGTTGACTTTTATTGCATAGAATGTTTCAAATGGCACTACTGAGTTTAATTCTATCTCAATCAATGCTTAGTGTCCACTCTATGCCTGTAGTTGGTTTGGTGCTGGAGATCCCAGCAGTGAGCAGGATCCAGTTCCTGTCCTGGTCTGAGTGATAGGATTATTGTGCAGAGGGGTCTTTGGAAACAAAAAGTAGGGACCTTTAGTCCAACTGTTTCAGAGAAAGAAAGACTTGAGAAGCGAAGTCGTGGACCTTAGTTAAAGAAAGCTAAGCAGGAGTTTCCAGGCAGTGGGAACATGATCAAAGTTACGAGGCGTGAAGCAGCCCTGTATGTTTAGGGTCCTGCAGGCTCAGAATGCCCAGTAACTGGAGACTAAGCTGCCCGAGGCCAGCAGTGGCCAGGAACTGGAGGACCGTGGGTGTCTTCATGGTGAACATGCAATATATTTTGCAAATGATTCACTGCCAGAGGTTCTTAGGAGTATTTACTTTAGTGAATGGATAAAAATGACAAGTAATTAGCATATACCTAAATATTCATTGGAATCCATGAAGTGTTAAGGAGTGCAGAATTTGTTTTAAATATTTTAGACAGTCGCCCTGCTCTTATTTACAAAAGTAATTTGCACTATAAAGAAGAAGCTAGCTGAATTGAGAACACTTGTGCATAGTCTCAGAAAGTCAGAATTTTTGTTATCTGAACTAGTGAATTTTCACTGTATTTTTGAAATGCTTCATTTTCCTTTTCTGTTGGTTATCATCCATTGCATAACACAGATACAAAGGTTTTTTTGTTTTTTTTTTTTTGTCATTTGGATTTTTCCTTAAAGGAAAATTTAAAACAATATAAGTGCAAATAAAACAAAACAAACAAGAAATGCCCTCTTACTATAGTTATAAGCAAAAAAAGGTTTAGAAAAACAAAAAAGAAAGTTCATAGAAAAGTTAGCTGCAACATCCACTCATTCGTACATTCATCCACACGACAGCTGGCTCTTACCACCTGCCATCTTCCAGTGCTGTGTAGAGCTGGACACATGCACAGCCCTGCCTTCCCATGCAGCTGGGGAGAAAAGCAGAAGGCAGCCCTCACTGTGCTGGGTGAGAATTGTTCTGGCACAGGGTGGACAGGTGCTGCCGGGTGCAGAGAAGGGCTCCCAGCCAAGGATTGGCAGTCAGGGAAGGCCTCGTGGAGGAAGTTAGTGATGGGCTCGCTAAGCCCAAAGGACACAGAAGAATTGGCAGGTGAAGCTGGGGAAAGAGGTCCCCAGGAAAAGGCAGTAAGGCAGGGATTGTGGTGAGAACTCTCCTATTTGGAGGAAGTCCTGACCCGAGAGAGTAGCGAACAAAAGTTGCACCCACAGGCAGCTAGGGGCAGCAGGAAGCGAGCTGTCCACATGACAGATGTCTCGTGGAAACCATGGAGCTGAGCACAGCTGCCATTAGCTGTCAGCATGGAGGTGACAGTGAAGGCCAACTCAGGAATGGGACAGAATCAGATGCCATGAGAGGAAAGATCAAAACCCAGTCCACGAAACAGAAGTCAGGGGCTTGGCTGGGGGTGGCTACCAAATTAAAACAAAATGTGTCCGCACTGCATGAGGAAGACATCTGAGGTCCAGGCCTCTGGAGTTTAGCAAGAAGGCAAGGCTGAGGGAGAGGGACAATGTGGAGGTCTGGTCCAACTGGAAGAATCCCTAAACCCACACAGATGGTTGTAAGAGACAATTCATCCTGCTTCTGGGCTGGAGTTGACCCCAAGTGGATAGTTCGTTAATCAAGGGTGGCATATACATTTCAAACTGGAACTTTGGAAATGACCACGTAGAGTGTTGTTTTGACAAGAACACCAAGACTGCATCTGAATATGGTGGGATAGAGGGATTGATAGCCGCCACTGGCCACTGGCATGCAGTGAGGACTCATCATATCCGTGGCTCGGTGCTTCCCACTCTGATTCTCACCATCTGATTCTCACCCTGATTCTCACCGTTGAATCTCTTATAATTTCTCTGATCCATAAATGCTGAGTGTAGACACCAAAATATGGAAATGAGTAGAATCACAGGAAACAAATTATTACTAGATTTAGGAATTAACTATTTTAATGAATTAAATCATGGAAAGATCATTTTCACTTCAACTTACTAAAGCTTATTATTAATTTTATAACTTTTTTCGAGATACACAATTAAGAAACGATAAGACTTTGAAAACCAGAATTCTGAAGACTTCTCCAGTGGCAATCTATCTTGTTTGATGACAATGTGTTGAGCCCATTCCCTCTTTGCTCCCAGGGTCCCTGGTATTTCCACCTCTCCTTCTCTATTGTCTCCTTCCAATCAGCATTTAAGCAGGCTCAAATGTCTGCTGTGTTTTAAAAAAATTACAAAAATCTTTTTCACCACTGTCTCTTCCTCCTCGCCTCCTTGCCGTCCTGGAGCGCTGCCTGGACTTGCATCCTGCTGTGTTGCTTCTCCACTCCTTCCGCGCACACTCTGTCCTGATTTCTGTTACCAGCACATCCTTGAAGGTTGTTCTCAAGGTTGCCAAGACCACCCAATTGTCAGACTTCAGCTTACTTGACCTTCCTACACTTCCTGGTGCTATTGTTCACTCCCTTTCCTTGCAATTCTGTCTTCTCTTTGTTTCTACAATGTTACTTTCTCCTGGTTCCACCCCCTCCTACCTGACCCTCTTTTCCCATCTCTTTTTGACTATAAGCTTTCCCCTTTCTTCAGCCCCTTCCAATGCCACTTCATTCTAGGCTTCTATCCTTGAACTCCATTCCCACCCACCTGAAGTTCTTCCCACATAGCTGGTGTTAATGTTCACGTATATACTGATCACCCCATGTCTGCGTCTCCACCCGGACTTTACCTAAATGTCCCACAGAAACCTGACTTGGAACTTCCCAAATGACACCACTCACTCCCTCCCTCACCTCAGATCTGTTTCTCCCACTGCCCCTACTCTGGTGAAGAGAACCACCATCCACTCAAATTTAGCTACTTAAGAATGGGTCGAGCAACAAATCCTCGAAATGTCCCCTCTGAAATTGTTCTCAAATGCATCCCCTCCCCTCCAGCTCCATAGCCTGAAAATTAAACATTATCTGGTGTGTACAACTCTTAATATAGTGCCTGACACACAGTAAGTGTCCAATGAAAGTTTCCCCTATTGCTAGTAATTCTATTATTCCTGCCATACTACTCCTATTCGTTTGGCCTATGATTAGTTTTCTCCTGGAAAAATACTTGCTCTAGCTTCCCAATTCCACCTTACTTCCTCAGGCCCTCCTTTCCTCAGTCTAGCCCTTGCCTTGCTGCCAAAGTAATATCTGAAACATAAACCTGAGCCTCTGCAGCTGGAAACCATTCTCAGCAAACTATCGCAAGAACAGAAAAACCAACACCGCGTGTTCTCACTCATAGGTGGGAATTGAACAATGAGATCACTTGGACACAGGAAGGGGAACATCACACACCCGGCGGTTGTGGGGTCGGGGGAGAGGGGAAGAGATAGCCTTAGGAGAAATACTTAATGTAGATGATGAGTTAATGGGTGCAGCAAACCAACATGGCACATGGATACATATGTAGCAAACCTGCACGTTGTGCACATGTACCCTAGAACTTAAAGTATAATCAAAAATTCTTTAAAAACTCTATAAACGCATAAAAACAAAACAAAACAAACAAACAAACAAAAAAACCTGAGCCTCTTCCAGCACTGCTTAAAACCCCCACCCCCTCTCTCCCTGTGGCCTCCAGGGCATCCAGTCCTAACTCACAAAGCCTCTTGCTAAGTGGCTTTTTGGCATCTGGTGACTGCACCTGCTGAGCATGCCCCCACAGGTATTATATGCAGAGGCCAGGGACCTGCTAGCAGTTCCTCCAACAAGCCAAGCTCCCCCTGCCTCCCAGGCCTTGCCAGGACTCCAAAAACTCCGAGAAGCCTCCCACGCCCCTTCCTGTCCCCATGCGCTGCAGGCCAACCTTCGTCCCAGCATCTGTGGTGAACACATCTGTGCTGGGATTGCTCTTCACTTGTTCCTTCTGCACCAGTGAGGGAAAGTCTGTGTCTCTCCCCTGTGCCTAGTGCCTAGCACGGTGTTTGGAACATTATGGAGTTTCCAACAGCGTGAGATGATTTGAATGAATGGTTACTGGGGAGGCACTTTCACAGCTGGGCTTGGTTGAACATAAAATGTCCTAAACCGGACCATTATGAAGAGGAAAATTTTATCTCTGGCTGAAAGCAAAGTGCTTCTCCAAACCTCAATCCTTCAGATCCTCTGTGCCAGGCTGGGTTTCAGGGCCTAGGGATGCAGAGGTGGACAAGCCATATCATGTCTCTGTTCTCATGGAGCTTGCATTCCAGCAGGGAAGATAACGTCACATAGTAACTAGTACTGTGACAGGGAAGAGGAAATAAAGCCAGATATGTGTTAGGGAGAGCCGAGAGGACTAGAATTTGGGGACACATTACACAAGGTAAGAGGGAGAGGACAGGGGAGGTGACAGCGGAGCTAAAGCCAGAACAATGAGAAGAATCTTCGTCCAACGTAAAAGGGCTCTTTTATTACATCCTAGTTAATGGAAAGATATTTTTGACTTTGCACCCAGAGGCTGTAGAAGAATCTCAGAAAATAAAATCTGGCTTTGGATAAATCTTTCATAGCACTAAAATGTTGCCTGTGGCCCTGAATTATGTAAGACGCCAGAGCACAGAGCATAACTGTAGAGAAACAGGAATTACTCTGCCAGGCTCTGGGAAAGCCTGCAGTTGTTTTCTCCTCTCCGGGTCTGCGCTTCCTGGAACAGCCCCAGCCTGCCTGCCTCTGCCTGGCGGTCTCTGCTCACAGAGGCTGCTGCTTCCCCAGGAAGGAAGCTCCAGGTTCCTCCACCCATGGCAGGTCGTGAAGTTGCTAATAGCTGCCCTCAAGGCTTCTTCTCCCATTCCCCTCACCTTGGCCAGCTCAGCTCCTCTCTGATACGTTTCTGCTGCTCGAATTTGCCTCCTGCATTTTGCCTCAATGCATATTTGGCCCCCATCCAAAGTGATCATCATTAATGCTCTCTTCTCATGGATCTATTGGCCAGATGATTTCTGCTAAAATATTTCACTGCACTTCCCTTGTCCTCACCCCTCCTTCCCTTTTTCTTATCTCCCTCCGAGAGCTCTAGCCGATGCTTGTCCTAGACTAACAGTTCCTGGCACATTCTTGCAGTCTTGACAATCAGGGAAATCGTTAATACACACACACACACACATACACACACACACACACACAAAAACACACATACACACAAATACACATTCATATTTGTATGCAATGCCTTCTGGCATTTTCTCTGCCTTTGCAGAGTAGCTTCCACGTATTATGTATCTACTACCTCTAATTCACCTAATAAACCTAGGATGTAGACACCCTTATTTTACGAACAAGGAAAGTGATGGTAATAATAGTGTCTGTCTTGTAGAGTTGTTATGAGGATCAAATGACACAATGCACAATAAGCACTTATCCCGGTGCTTGGCACACAGCTAGCCCTCAGTGAGGGTTGTGATGATTCATTGACCTCTCAGTCACCATGGCATTTCATTATGAACTAGATAAAGTAGAAGAGAGTACCTTTAAACTAGCATAATTACAAAAGGTAGGATTCTTATTTTAAAGTGATTTTTTTTCACTAGCCATTCTAAAGCCTAGTTTTTACAAGCCAAGGAATTTGCCTTCATCTTCTCATCTCTATCCTTAGGGATGCACAAACATAAACCCAAAGGTATTTAGGATGGAAAAGAGGATAACAACCATCCCTCACATCTGCACGAGCCCTGTCCCCAAGGCAAAGCCTTTTGTCCAAGGCTCTGTAAGGACCATCCTCCCAGCTTCTCAGTGTCTGAGGCACAAGCTCCCTCTGCGGCCGGACTTGTATCTGTATTTTTTGCCTCCTCACTTAGACAAAGCTATGTTTTTCTTCTTTCAGAGCTTACTATCCTCCTCTTCCTCCCTTCATCTCCATCACAAAGACTTTGGAAACCCTGCACAAAACATTTTCGTAAAAGCAGCACATACACCTCAAACTGCATTAGAACTTAGGTGCACCACCATATGTCAATAGATGTCCCTCAAAAAACTGCCCTCAGTGTCAGATGAGTTTGGGAAACCTTGTGTAAAGAAAAGCAAAGAGGTGTCCTTGCTGTTGGGCTTCACTTAGAACCTCTAATCTGCTAATGAAGGTGGAGAACATCTCTAGGAGGCGCTGGACAACTAGTGCCCCTCCAAGGGATCTGGGGACAGGGCTTGTGCACCTTGGTCAGGGTCGCCTTTTTAACGTCTTGCCAGAGCCCAGCATCCTTGGGGACTGGGGGATGCAAGTTTTGGTAAAAAACGATTTCTGCCTTCTGCCACAGCATGGGCGTTGGGGGCAATGGCAATTGAGTAAGATAGGGAAGAACAGGGCAGGAGCCCTCAAGGGTCAGCTCAGCAAAGAGCAAGTGGGACAGGCCCAAGTGGAAGGAGAGATGAGGAAGACAGGTCTTACTGGGAGAGGGGATTCACAAATCAGAGGGAAAAGTTACATTGCAGGAGGTGGAATGGCAAGAGGCAATTATTCCCAATTGTTAGAGGTCCCCAAATTCTAGCCACATGGCTGGGACTAAGGAAGGCAAGCAAACTGACACCACAGTTTAAGAAGAGATAGACATTGCCAATTTTACCTCCCACCCCCTGAAATAGTGGCCCCAGAGAAACCCCTTTCTGGATAGATCCCAACACTGTCACCTCCTAACTCGCAGCCTAGGCTGGTCACTGACTCTCTGGGAATCTGACATTGCAGAATTTATAAGATAGGAACAGTGATGGCACCTGCCTCCCGGGGAGGTCTGAAGCTTGTTTTATAGAAGCACCCCAACAAGTGCAGCACACAGTGCATCCATTAATGTGACTTTCTCTCTGGTGGATTGTATTTTTCCCTGTCATTATCTCTGGATCTCCCCCAGGTCAAGAAGAAGAGAGATTGGCCCTAGAAACTGCCCTGATGTACGGAGCTAAAAAGCCCCTCAACACAGAGGGTGTCATGAAATCGAGGTCCAAAGTTGACATGGACTTTGAAGTGGAAAATGCCGTGCTGGGAAAAGACCTCAGGCTCACCATCACCTTCCGGAACAACAGCCACAACCATTACACCATCACAGCTTATCTGTCAGCCAACATCACCTTCTACACCGGGGTCTCGAAGGCAGAATTCAAGAAGGAGACGTTCGACGTGATGCTGGAGCCCTTGTCCTGTAAGCTAACAATGGTGTGGTTCTCTTTGAGACTTGCTGTCTGGCCCCTGTCTTGCTAGGTGTTAATGCCCATTATAGCTTCATATCAAAGTTAAAGTTCCCCCAATATCTCAGAAGTGTGAGCCTCACAGGGAGAACTCACTTACTCTGCAAAAGCCTCCACTTTTTTTTTTTTTTTTTGAAATGGAATCTCGCTCTGACACCCAGGCTGGAGTGCAATGGTGTGGTCTGGGCTCACTGCAACCTTCACCTCCCGGATTCAAGTAATTCTCCTGTCTCAGCCTCCCAAGTAACTGGGATTACAGGCACCTGCCACTATGCCCGGCAATTTTTTATATTTTTGGTAGAGACGGGGTTTCACTATGTTGGCCAGGCTGATCTCAAACTCCTGACCTCAGGTGATCCGCCCACCTCGGCCTGCCAAAGTGCTGGGATTATAGGCATCAGCCACCACGCTCGGCCCAAAAGCCTCCACTTTCATCTTCACATCTCATGCACAGAAGTGAGCATTGAAATTTTCAAAGCCTAGAGCCCCTGAGTTGTGAGAATTAAATGTAACTTCTTGCTATTCAAAGTGTGGTGCATGAGCCAGCTGCATCAGCATCTGGCTTTTTTTTTTTTTAATCCTGAATCTCGTGTCCCACCCCACACCTTCTGAATCAAAAACCATGTTTTGACAAGATCCCAAGGGGACTGGAGTGTACAGGAGAGTTTGTGGAGCATGGATCTAAATGATCGCGATCTCAGAACAGGGCCCTCTGCTGATGCCTGTCTCCCAAGTTAGTGAAGTCTTTTGGGGGCCGTCCAGAATGAAATGGTGTGCTTTTGCTTTCCATTCAACAGCGGGAAGATCTACGCGCTGCACACGGCCGCTTCTTAAAAATGCTGTCGCCTGTAACCCAGCACTTTGGGAGGCCAAGGTTGGCAGATCATCTGAGGTCAGGAGTTATCGAGGACCAGCCTGGCAACATGGTGAAACCCCCATCTCTACTAAACAAAAACTAGCCAGGCATGGTGGCAGGCACCCTGTAGTCTCAGCTACTCGGGAGACTGAGGCAGGAGAATTGCTTGAACCGGGAGCCAAGGTTGTTGGAGCCAAGATCGTGCCACTGCACTCCAGCCTTGGGTGACAGACCAAGACTCGTATCAAAAGAAAAAAAAAAAAAGGAGGCTGAAGACAAATAAATGTCATCTAGGAGGGGCTCTATGAAGGGTTTTCTACCTCTGCCATCTCTTGTGGGGCCTCTTTCTCGTCCTTGTATAACATCTTCCAAGCCTTTTCCACACTATTAAAACAGAATATTTTAAGAATATCAGGGCATTATGGAGCCTTGGGTGATCACATACTCCCCTAATATAAAAATGTTCTGTAGAGTCATATCTGTGGTATTACAATGTGATCCCTACCGTATGGGTTCTGTAGTAGAAGATATCTTGTTCTCGCTGCCCCAAGCAGTGTTAGAGCTTTATGGTGTTTGCCAAAGGAGGCGTTGGTCAGCCAAATTCGGGTTTGGTGGCGTCCTTGTGCTTTTGTTTCCGAAATAATGAAGAAAAAAGAATTGTAATAATTTTGACAAAGCAAAGCAAGAAAAAAACTGATACACTCGGTGGGCCCCAAGCTCAAGTTATTGACTCTCAACTCTCTGGATTCTTGATGGCTGTCACAGATCATGGTACCCTCTGGCTGAGCGATTTCGAACAATATTCCAAGGGAGACAATGAGAAACTATTTTTAAAAATCCTGATTCAAGGAACTTACGTCAAATTTGAAGGAAGCCAATCTCCCTAGCTTCAGTAATAGAACTTTCTTTAGTATTGTGGGGTCATTGGTGTGGTGGGCTCATGCCTGTCAATCCAGACTTTGGGAGGCTGAGGACGCGGTAGATCACCTGAGGTCAGGAGCTCGAGACCAGCCTGGCCAGCATGGTGAAACCTCATCTCTACTAAAAATACAAAAAATTATCCAGGCATTGTGGCAGATGCCTGTAATCCCGGCTACTTGGGAGGCTAAGACAGGAGAATCGTCTGAACTCAGGAGGCACTATAAGGTTTTTTTTTTTTTTTTTTTTTTACTTTTTTTTTTTTTTTTTTTTTGAAACTGAAAGATTTGGCGCTTTTCTTATTCCTAGGGTAGTAAAGGTAATTTTCATGGAAAAGAATAGTCAGTGTAAAGGACTGAAGAGGACAACAGTCATGGGGATTGTTTAAAACAGGCAGCCACATTTGATTTCAGAGAGTTTTGCAAATAGAGAATTCTGGATGTAAGCGATGACTGTGTAACCTACCAGCTATGTTTCCTGAGCGAGTTACTTAAGCACTCTGAGCTCTCTCCCCTCATCTGCAAAGGGGAACAATAGCACGCACACCACAGCGTTCTTCATTCATTCCCCAAACCTTTATTTAGTGCTTGCAAGTCCGGGTTCTGTTTTATACTGGAGACACAACAATGCCTATTCTTACTGAATTTCTGATCTCATGGGGAAACCAAACAAACAAGTGAATCTATAGTATAGTTATATGGGTAATAGAAAAATATAAAGCAGGTTAAGGAAAACAGGGAGTGCTTGTGGAGGTGGTCAGAAAAAAAAAACCTGTCTAATAAGGTGACATTTAACAGAGACCTAACTGAAGGTCAGAAGTGAGCATTCCATCCAGAAGAAACTGTATGTGCAAAGGCCCTGGGGCCAGAGCATGTCTGATGTGTTCAATGAGCAGGAAGGAGCCAGAACAGGAACAAAGGTGGCAAGGAGGCAGTGCTGGATGCAGACCATATAAAGAATTGTAGGCCTTTATAAGGTCTTTGGTTTTTATTTTCAGTGAGCTGAGGGCCTTTAGAGAGTTTTGAGCTGAAATGTGGCATAATCTAACTTAGGTTTTGAAAAGACCACTGGCTGCTGTCTTGAGAAGAGACTAAAGAGGAAGTAGGGCTGAAGGTTAGAGACTGGTAGGATGTTTCTGCAGTCGCTACACTGAGAGGTGCTGATACTAGTGATGGAAGCAGCGAGAACTAGTCTGATCCGGGCATGTGCTGAAGGTGGAGCCCGCCTGATTGGCTGATGGACTGGATATGTGGTGTTAGAGAAGGGGGTTGTGGAGGAAACCAGATGAGTGATAAATGTGAAACGTTTGGCACATGGTAGACTCTCAGTAAATGGTAACTGCCAACATGTTTACATTTGGGGAAACTGAAGCTGGAAAGATGAGTCGATGTGTTCAAGCCCCTAAACAGCAATGAGAGGCAAAGCAGATAATAGAGTAGACAAATAATAGCAGTGACGGTGAGCCAGTTCAGTATAAACTTGGCCCCAAGTGGGCCAGTTCCCTTCCTTGTGCCCCCGTTACCTGAAGTCTAGCACAGATCCTTAGACAAAGAACCAAATATCAAGCCTTTTCCCACCTCACAAGTGTCCTGTCTCATAATCTCCTTCCCCTTCCCTCTCTAATCCAATTTAAGAACGAGCTTGTATGGGTGAGCAGAATGATATCATTCTCTTAGTCACTGACCTAGGGACAGCTGACCAAACCTCCGCCTGAGTCCATGGGAACACATCTCCCACTCACTTGGCCGGCCCCAGCTTGTCCTGAATAACTTGAAGGGAACTGGGGACTCTTTGTTCCTGTGCCCTGCAGGCAGGTGGCATTAACTGTGAGCAATAAATTGTGTATTGAAATATAAATTAAATTGCAGTATATTGCAAAATGCCACATAACTTTAGGCCTTGATCAAGCATTCTTAGATGCCCCTGTTGCAAAGAAAGTTTTCCAAGTAGAATGGGAGGCATACTTTCCAGATTGATGATTAAAGGGAATGCGTGTGCTGGAATCAGCTTGGGAGATCTGAATAACTTAAACCTCTCCATACCTTCAAAGGTGCTATCATTTCCACTTGGCTATATTTAGTTTTCTTTGCTTTTTGGAAAAGAGATGAGGCAGCTCCAGTCTGTGTCTCCCTTGGCTTTCCCCAGACACCGTAAATGATATTGGCAGCATCCCAGCCCCACTGCTCACAGCGCGAAAACCTATTCCTCCTTCTCTTGCCACGTTTAATCAACTTTATCTAGAACAATTTCTTGTGCAGTGGCAAAACACAGCACTTACATAACATACTATTTCAGAAGCACTGTTCTCCTGGGCTCTGAAGCACAGCCTGGTTTCTTTAGTGCTCTGATTTAGGGAGTGCTCTGCCTCAGAGAAGAGAGGGTCCTGATACCGAGATTATAAAGATAGCAAGAGCCTCTGTAAAGAAGTCATATCCCACTAGCCAAAAGAAATCCAGTGGTCAAACACAGTCCTCTAGAAATAGCCAGGGGAAGTCATTTTATTATTGTTATTACTGGAGGCAGCTAGAGGCAAAATGCAGGTTCTTCGAGGCCTTCCACCTTGCCATTTCATCCATTCTATCTAGAGACACGACAAACTGACCGTTTATGCTCATCTGAGGCTGTAACCAATAGAGGGCCAGAACCTCACTCATCTAGACTATTAATCGCAAGGGGAGTCACGGAGGAAGCAGGGTCCAGGCGTAGGTCCAAAGACAGCAATAAGAGCCGGTCATTCCAAAAGGCAGGACCTGGGGGCCAAGGTCAAGGCAAGGTCACAGCTTTAAAGAACCAGCTCTAAATAGAACAGCTCTGCTCCAGAAATCAAGCCAACAAAGCTAGCTCTTTAGTGCTTTCCTAAAATAGACCAATACATTCTGATAATCCACCTGCTGTATGCGGGGTTGCTTGGTTTCAGCACCATTGACATTATTATGGGCTGGATACTTTGTTGTGGTACTATCCTGTGCATTGTAGGATGTTTAGCAGCATTTTTGGCCCCTTTCCACCAGATTCCAGTAGTAACTCACCCTCCACCCCAGTTGTGACAATCAAAAAGGTCTCCAGACATTGCCAAATGTCCCCTGGGGGTAACATTGCTCCCTATTGACAACTACTAGTCTACGATGACCAACCTTTCTAGTTTTCCAGGGATCGATGGGGTTCCCAGGATGCAGGCCTTTCAATTTAAAATCCAGGTAGTCCTCAGTTCACCCTAACTCTGGCCCTAACTTACCCCTTCTGCTGTTAGAACCTCCCATCTCTCAGAGCATCTCACACTTGAATAGGCATTGTCTGGGGTCTTATTCAAATGCAGATCCTGACTTCAGTGGTGCAGTAAGAAGTCAGAGACCCTGCATCTGTAACAGGCTCCCAGGTCTGCAGACCACAGGAGGAACAGCAAAGACCTAGACTGGAAAGCCATCTCTTCCACTGGAACCCAGGCTGTCTGCAGGGCTGATTCTACAGGGATGCCCCTGGTTGTTGGAGTGGCCCTTCTCAACCCTGGCTGCACATCAGAGTCAGCTGCAGAGCTTTTAAAAATACAGGTGTCTGGGTCCTCCAAGGCTCTGATTTAATTGGCCTGGAATGAGATCCAGCTTGGTCGGTCTTTAAGGTCCCCAGGTGATTGTGATATAGAGCCAAGACTGAGGACTCTTCAATCTGAAGTCTTGGAAGCAGGCACAGCACTTACACATCCGGAAAGAGACTTCCAAATAGAAGTGCTGCCCAAGGCAGAGGCCTTCCCAGCCTCTTGGTCTTCAAGGTCCAGAGCCAGTTGCTGCAGATCCAGCACAGGTGTGAGAGTTCCTCTACAGATGATGGACATGGCTCAATGCACCCACACCTTCGAGCCAGTGGGGAGTCAGGGGCCCTGCTCTCTGCTGTGGTGCATGCCCATCCACAGGCACTCCACGCTCCTGCAAACTGCTGTTCCATACAGCAGACTAAAATGTATTACCCTCTGCACTCGAATTGTTGGCCATGAAGCTGTTTCCTTCAGTAACTTCCACAGAAAGGAGAAGTCTTTGGCAAAAGCCAGAAATTGAGAATGAAAGCAGTAAAGACATTCAGGTCTGTGGAGTTTCATAGAGTCTGTTCCCTGCGGCTGGGGATGGAGGAATGAGTCACCCATTCACCTGCAGGGTCTGCCAGCTGTCGGCTCATGCAGGCATCTGGCTCCGACCGGGTAGCAGCGAGTGCACACCTGGGCTCAGCCTACAGAGAAACTGCCCATTGCTCTCTAGAATCCTGGACAGTGGGAAATGGGAGTTAGAGAGAGAAAGTGAGCCAGAGCCACAAGATAGAACTCACCATCCTCAGCCCAGATGCTAATTGGAGGGGAGCCAGGACCACTCCCCATCCTCCAAATGCCATTCTCGTTGGCTTGTCCCCAGGACCTAGAAATCTGACATCAGTGACTGGTTTCCATTGAGAGAACAATCATTTGGCACAGAGGTCTTCTAAATCACAAACAGAGGTTTGGAGATAGTTGAATGCCTTTGGTAGAAACTGGTTTCAACAGCTTCCTTCTCTTAAATAGAAAAATCATGATATCAGATTGGAGAGAAAATGTGGAGTGCTACAATGTTTATGTAGTTGACAATTTTGTCTGAGTGTGGCCCATGGCCTAGGTGAGACACTTCTTATTTGACAAGGGGATTGCACGTGGAATAGGGGCCTTGGACTTCAGCACCCCACATGTTCCATTTTGGGATGATCCCAGCCCAAATCAAAGCCACCGTTAAAACCCGTTGATCCTTCTTTGCCACAAAAATCACATCTTTTCCATGGCATTTCTTTTACAACAGCAAAATAACTGTTTGGAAGGTTTGACACATTTTCTCCAGTAAGACTTCAGTGAATATTAAATTTCTAGCACATTCTTTACCTAAGAAGCAGGACAGCTTATCCCCAATTGACTCTTTGTTCCACTTGCCCCTTACCTTTGCTGTGTTCCTGGGGGCTTCCAGGCTACTGTGGGAAGGATGGGGAAACTTGGGGAAAGGTAAAGTAGATGCTGTCTCAAGTCTTGATGCCAGGCCCGTGTGTGTTTTCTCCTGCCAGTCAAGAAAGAGGCGGTACTGATCCAAGCCGGCGAGTACATGGGTCAGCTGCTGGAACAAGCGTCCCTGCACTTCTTTGTCACAGCTCGCATCAATGAGACCAGGGATGTTCTGGCTAAGCAAAAGTCCACCGTGCTGACCATCCCTAAGCTCATCATCAAGGTCAGTCTTAGCGTCTCGTCCTGGAACAGAGAGAAAGGCACACAGACTTACTGTTCATGTGTGCATGTGTGTGCTTGTGTGTGTGTGTGTGTGTGTGAATGAATGTCCTGCTCAAAAAAAAAAAAAAATACCAGTGCTAGGATCCTCCTGTTCTTTGAAAGAAGTAAACTGCCCTATATATAGACACATACATATAACACTTTTCTCTCCTCTCCAGATTTAAATATATAGATGTGGTTGCAGATATAAATATAACCTGTGGGTATAAACACACTTGTGGAGGAAGATAAAGATGTGTAATGGCTACAGATACTTAGAACTTTCATTGTCTCCAGAATAAAGTGGATCAGGCATGCCATAAGAGGTAGATAAACTGCCTGCAACATTTTGCACAGTAATTTTGTTTATGGAGGTATAATTGTGGACAGTAGATCGCACAGATCAAAATATACAGCTTGATGATGATTTTGTATGTGTGTGTGCCTTGCAACCACGAGCCAGATGAAGAAATGGAGGATTTCAAACACCCCCAGAAAGTTCCCTCATGCCTTTTCTAGCCAATAACCCCCTGGACCATCACCAAGATAATAACTTTTCTGACTTCTGTCACCATAGGTTTATTTGCATGTTTGACCAGTAGTTTTCATGGTGCCTCTCCAGTGATCACCAGAAATCTCTGCCCAAGTGGCTCAGGAGACTTGGCAGAGGAAGGCCAAGGGTGGATGAGAGTGGGAGACAAATGTGGGAGCCCATGTGCTCCTACTTCTCAGACTCACCACTGTAGTTTCTGGGGGTTCTGTGGTTAAATCCATGAGACACCTTCCTGCCCTTGAAGCAGGAACCCAGGCCTCTGGCAGGGACCCTGAGAAGTGACATCTCATGCAGCCCTTATCCAGGGCATAGAGCCCTTCCCTAGTCTCTGGAGAACAATCTTCTTGAAGTGATTGAGAGCAATTAGCACAGATCCTGCTAAACTACATTGCTCTAAAGTGGTAGATAAATCAAAGCTTTGTAAAGCTGATCGTATTTTAATGGTCCTAGAGGTGGGCAGTGTGAGGGTAGTCCTTGCTTCTCATGAATCCTTTGCTGTGAATCATTTGGAAAGCTAATGGCTGCTGTGCAGCCTTCAGCATGGCTGTGTTCCTTGGGTAACTACTGGGCTCCAGACACTGTTTTTAAAGCACTTTACATGGGTGCATTTTCAACCACCAACAACCCCACAAGGTAAAGAGTATTGGCATCCCTTTACAGATGAGAAAACTGAAGCACAGAGAGGTTCAATAGCTCCTCCAAGGCCATACAGCCAGCAAACGGTGGAGCTGGGCTTCCAACCCCAGCAGGCTGGCTGCAAAAGCAGCGCTGGGAACCAGCTCCTTCAACTATTCTTATGGTCTGGTCCTGTGTGATTGACACAGTGAGACACCCCAAGGCAAGGCCCATCCAAGCTCACAGGCATGTAATGCCCATCAGGGAGCAGAACACCAGGCAGTTCTTTTCTACAAAGGCCTACATTGTCATGTCTCTGATTCCTTCGCCTCTGTCACGGCCCACAGCGCACCATGGCATTATCTGCACAGGAAGGTTTAAAAGAAAGAATGAAAATGAGGATGTGCAGGGTTGGCAGGCAAAGTCAGAAACAAATGCAAAATGGAGAGGTGGGGATTAGGGTTGCTACAGAGATACCGTCATCCAAGAGAACGTGAAGTTAATTGCTTAAGGTGCAGGATGCCCTAACCCGGAAGTTGGTCTTCACAGCTGGCTCTTCCTACAGACATGTGGCAGCCCCTGCTGCAGGCCTGTCCCAGCCACTTGGTGGAAGCAGCTTTTGCTACCCTTGTGGGCCGTTGAGCAGGTTTCATTTATGAGCTCAACCCTGAACCTTCCCCACCAGCAGCAAGGCCTGCGTGTGTACCTAATTATGAAGTGACGGCCTGTCCCTGCAAAGGTCTCAGGAGAGAGCCTTCCCGAGCTGTGAAGTGCTCAAACCACAGCAGAAAATAGAATTTAATTGCACCACTGATAATAAACCAGATGTATGAAGGAAACTGATAACTTTCATCTTTTAGGCACTATTAATTTGAAGGATTATTTGTTAGTTATCTTCTGGGCTTACTTAAAAAGAGCAGTTTAATTCCCAAGGAGCACAATCAGAATACCTTATCCCACAAGTTAGCAGACCTGGGCATGGAGAGAGTACTTTAAACGGAGAGTTATTTTGTTTTGTGTTTCCTTCCACAAAGGAATCAGAGATGCTGCTCCTGGAGGAAACTTATTTAGAAGTAGGGACATTTGATAGGGAAGAGAGCATGAAACAGATGGAAATTCTGGCTTCTGTCCATGCCAAGTTTGTTCAAAAAGGTGGAATGGGGCATCATCCCATAAACTGCTCTTTAACCATTAGCCCTACTAACTCTAAGGATAACCTAAATCCACACTGAGTAGAAGTGCTCCTGGGTAAAGCACCCACACCCTAAGGACCACCCAGGAGTCACAGAGCTGTGAGAGGGCCTGGGTGCAGAAGCTCTGGTCTGTGGACTGGGGACCTGCCTAGCTTCCCGGAGATGTGAAATGCAGTGTCACAGCAGGGGAGGGGAGGAGGAAGGGGAAGGGAGGGAGAGGAGAGAACAGAGGAGAAAAGGAGGGAGGGAGGGGAGGAGAGGATGGAGAGGAGAAAAAGAGGAAAGAAAAGAGGAGGGCACAGGAGGGAAGAGGAGAGAACAGAAAAGAAGAGGAAGGGACAGGAGGGAGAAAAGAGGGAGAATGGAGAGGAGAAGAGAAAAAAAAGGGGAGAGGACAGTAATAAGAAAACTTAAAGTTGAAATATTCCAAAGGAGGCCTAGGGGGAGGAGTCAGATAAATTGTATAAAACAAAACTCGATTGTTGAGTTATTTTTTCTCCTTCTTTCCTTCCTTCCTTCCTTCCTTCCTTCCTTCCTTCTTTCCTTTCTTTCTATTTTTATTTTAGGTTTGAGGGTACGTATGAAGGTTTGTTATGTAGATACACACGTGTCACAGGGGTTTGGTGTACATATTATTACATCACCCAGGCATTAAGTCCAGTACCCAGTAGTTATCTTTTCTGTTCCTCTCCCTCCTCCCACCCTCTTCACTCAAGTAGACCCCAGTGTCTGTTGTTTCCTTCTGTGTGTTCATAAGTTCTCATCATTTAGCTCCCACTTGTAAGTGAGAACATGTGGTATTATGTTTTCTGTTCCTGCATTAGTTTGCTAAGAATTATAGCTTCCATGAGCTCTTTTTTTTTTTCATATGCTTGTTGGCCATGTATATGCTCATGTCCCTTGCCCACTTTTTAATGGGGTTGTTTTTTTTCCTGTAAACATGTTCAAGTTCCTTATAGATGCTGGATATTGGCAACATCACCAATCATCAGAGAAATGCAAATCAAAGCCACCATGAGATACTATCTCATACCAGTCAGAATGGCTATAATTAAAAAGTCAAAAAATAACAGGTACTGGTGGGGTTGTGGAGAAAAAGGAACACTTATACATGGTTAGTGGGAGTGTAAACTAGTTCAATCCTTGTGGAAAACAGTGTAGCGATTCCTGAAAAAGCTAAATACAGAAATACCATTTGACCCAGCAATCCCATTACTGGGTATATACCCAAAAGGAATATAAATCATTCTATCATAAAGATACATGCACATATATGTTTATTGCAGCACTATTCACAATATCACACACATGGAATCAACCTAAATGCCCATCAATGGTAGACTGGACACAATGCAGCCACAGCTATCAAAAAGGATGAGGACATGTCCTTTGCAGGAACACAAATGGAGCCAGAGGCCATTATCTTAGCAAACTAACACAGGAAGAGAAAACTGAATACTGCATGTTCTCGCTTATAAGTGGGAGCTAAAAGATGGGAACATATGGATATATAGAGGGAAACAACACACACAGGGTCCTGTTGGAGAATGGAGGGTGGGAGGAGGGAGAGGATCAGGAAAAATAACTAATGGGTACTAGGTTTAATGTCTTTGTGACAAAATAATCTACAACCCTCATGACACAAATTCACCTATACAACAAACCTGCACATGTACCTTGAACTTAAAATAAAAGGTTTTTAAACAATGAGGACTTGGAAAGGGAGCTAAATGCAGTAAAAGTACAAAACCACAATGGCTCAGAGGTCCAGAATTACATAGGACATATTTCTCTAAATTCTAAGAAAACGCTTACACCCTTTTTCAACCTCTTTGAGCCTGGGTGGACACACAACTGACTGAGCCTCAAGGTTGCTGCGGGCAAATGTGCCAGGCACAGGGTGCAATTATGTGAGAGACAGAGAGGAGACCACAGCCCTTCCTACTCAGCTCAGTCACGAGAAGGGTTGGGACCAGCCCCTGGTGATTATGATGACAGCAGCTATGATTTATTAAGCACTACATTATTAAACGCCTTTCTTCTGTGATCTTATTTAACCCTCTCTACCATCCTACAAGGAGGACGTTACTATAACCTCTGTTTTACTGATTAGAAAACTTAGAGGACCAGAGAAGGCAGTGCCTTGTAGCACAGTGGTCAGAACATGGGCTCTGGAACCAAACTATCTGAGTTTAAAGCTTGTTTTCTGAACGTCATAGCTGTGTAAGCCTGGACAGATCATTTCACCTCTCTTGGCTTCTGTGTTCTCATCTGTAAGTCAAAAGCAATGGTAACTCTCCTCCTGGGGTCTTTGTGAGTATGTTATGAGTCAATGGATGCCTGAGTCACAGTGCACACCTATATATGTTGGTTGCTGCTATTATTGCCATTATTGCTGTTTATTAGTAACTGGCCCGTGATCACGTGCCTACTCAGGGAAGGAGAGACACTTCTGGCCCAGGTCTTCCTGACTGTGCTGGTCTTCCAGTCTGTGCTGGTAGCTGTTGGGCTACAGTGGAACTATTATACAAAGCAGAGGCGGTCATTGACTTTGAAGAGAGTTTTGTATTCAAGGGAGGAGAGATCACCCACACTTGAGTG